CGACCACACCTGTGTGTCCCCTCACCTGTGTCCCCCATGTTCCCTGTGTCACCTGTGTGTCCCCTGTATCACTTGTGTGTCACCTGTGTCCCCTCACCTGTGTCCCTTTGTGTCCCCCCAGGTCACGACTTCCTGCGCCTGTGGCACGATTCCCTGCGCCTGTGGCACCTGTCTGACCACACCTGTGTGTCCTTTCACCTGTGTCCCTTGTGTCACCTGTGTCCCCTCTCTCTGTCCCCAGGTCACGACTGTTCTCTCCGTCTCTGGCACCTGTCTGATCACACCTGTGTGCAGGAGTTACCTGTGTCCCCTGTGTCACCTGTGTCACCTGTGTGTCCCCTGTGTCACCTGTCCCTCACCTGTGTCCCCTCACCTGTCCTCTCTCTGTCCCCAGGTCACGACTGCTCCCTGCGGCTCTGGCACCTGTCTGACCACACCTGTGTGCAGGAGTTACCTGTGTCCCCTCTGTCCCTGTGTCACCTGTGTCACCTTTGTGTCCCCTGTGTCACCTCTGTCCCTTTCTGTCCCCAGGTCACGACTGCTCTCTCCGGCTCTGGCACCTGTCTGACCACACCTGTGTGCAGGAGCTCCCCGCCCATCGCCGCAAGCACCACGAGGCCGTGCTGGCCGTGGCNACTGTGTCCCCTGTGTCACCTGTGTCCCCTCACCTCTGTCCCTCTGTGTCCCCTGTGTCCCCTGTGTCACCTGTCCCTCACCTGTGTCCCCTCACCTGTCCCCTCTCTGTCCCCAGGTCACGACTGTTCCCTGCGCCTGTGGCACCTGTCTGACCACACCTGTGTGCAGGAGTTACCTGTATCACCTGTGTCACCTGTGTCACCTGTGTCCCCTCTCTGTGTCCCCAGGTCATGACTGCTCCCTGTGCCTGTGGCACCTGTCCGACCACACCTGTGTGTCCCCTCACCTGTGTCCCCTGTGTCACCTGTGTCACCTGTCCCTCACCTGTGTCCCCTCACCTGTCCCCCTCTCTGTCCCCAGGTCACGACTGTTCCCTCCGCCTGTGGCACCTGTCTGATCACACCTGTGTGCAGGAGTTACCTGTGTCCCCTGTGTCACCTCTGTGTCACCTGTCCCTAACCTGTGTCCCCTCTGTGTCCCCAGGTCACAACTGCTCCCTCCGGCTCTGGCACCTGTCCGAGCACACCTATGTGCAGGAGTTACCTGTGTCCCCTGTGTCCCCTGTGTCCCCTGTGTCACCTGTGTCACCTGTCCCTCACCTGTGTCCCCTCACCTGTCCCCTCTCTCTGTCCCCAGGTCACGACTGTTCCCTCTGGCTCTGGCACCTGTCTGATCACACCTGTGTGCAGGAGTTACCTGTGTCCCCTGTGTCACCTCTGTGTCACCTGTCCCTCACCTGTGTCCCCTCTGTGTCCCCAGGTCACAACTGCTCCCTCCGGCTCTAGCACCTGTCCGAGCACACCTGTGTGCAGGAGTTACCTGTGTCCCCTGTGTCACCTGTGTCACCTGTCCCTCTCTCTGTCCCCAGGTCACGACTGTTCCCTGCGCCTGTGGCACCTGTCTGACCACACCTGTGTGCAGGAGTTACCTGTGTCCCCTGTGTCACCTGTGTCACCTCTGTCCCTCTGTGTCCCCCCAGGTCACGACTGCTCCCTCCGTCTCTGGCACCTGTCGGAGCACACCTGTGTGTCCCCTGTGTCCCCTCACCTGTCCCCTCTCTCTGTCCCCAGGTCACGACTGTTCTCTCCGTCTCTGGCACCTGTCTGACCACACCTGTGTGCAGGAGCTGTCCCTCACCTGTGTCCCCTGTGTCACCTGTCCCTCACGTGTGTCCCCTCACCTGTCCCCTCTCTCTGTCCCCAGGTCACGACTGTTCCCTGCACCTGTGGCACCTGTGACCACACCTGTGTGCAGGAGCTGTCCCTCACCTGTGTCACCTGTGTCCCTTTGTGTCCCCTGTGTCACCTGTCCCTCTCTGTCCCCAGGTCACGACTGTTCCCTCCGTCTCTGGCACCTGTCTGACCACACCTGTGTGCAGGAGCTCCCCGCCCATCGCCGCAAGCACCACGAGGCCGTGCTGGNCACCTGGACGCCGTCACCTGCCTGGCCCTGGACCCCAGCGGAGCCTTCCTGCTGTCCGGCAGTGAGTGACCAATGAGTGACCACTGACCAATGAGTGACCAATGAGTGACCAATGGGTGACCAATGTGTGACCACTGACCAATGGGTGACCAATGGGTGACCACTGACCAATGAGTGACCGATGGGTGACCAATGGGTGACCATCATGATGTGATCACTGAGTGACCAATGCTGAGTAACCAATGCTGAGTGACCAATGAGTGACCAATGAGTAAGCAATGGGTGACCGATGGATGACCACTGACCAATGAGTGACCGATGGGTGACCGATGGGTGACCACTGACCAATGAATGACCACTGAGTGACCAATGCTGAGTGACCAATGGGTGACCAATGGGTGACCAATGCGTGACCACTGACCACTGAGTGACCACTGAGTGACCAATGCTGAGTGACCAATGAGTGACCAATGGGTGACCAATGCGTGACCACTGGCTGCTGAGTGATCACTGAGTGACCAATGCTGAGTGACCAATGAGTGACCCATGAATGACCTTGAGTGACCAATGAGTGACCACTGAGTGACTGCTGACCAATGAGTGACTGCTGAGTGATCCTGAGTGACCTTGAGTGACCAATGAGAGACTCAGTGACCACTGACTGCTGAGTGATCCTGAGTGACCAATGAGTGATCCTGAGTGATCAACGTGGGACTGAGTGACCAATGAGTGACCAGTGGGTAACCACTGAGTGACCAGTGAGTAACCAATGGGTGACCAATGAGTGACCAGTGAGTAACCAATGGGTGACCAATGAGTGACCACTACTGAGTAACTGAGAGACTGAGTGACCACTGAGTGACCGCTGAGTGACCGCTGTCATTGTCACATGTCCCAGTGTCACCAGGTGTGTCACCTCTCTGTCCCCAGGTCACAACCGTTCCCTGTGCCCGTGGCACCTGTGTCACCTGTGTGTCACCTGTGTGTCACCTCACCTCTGTCACCTCACCTGTGTCACCTGTGTGTCCCCCGTGTGTCCCCTGTGTCACCTCACCTGTGTCACCTCACCTCTGTCATCTCACCTGTGTCACCTGTGTGTCCCCCGTGTGTCTCCCGTGTGTCCCCTGTGTCACCTCACCTCTGTCACCTCACCTTTGTCACCTCACCTCTGTCACCTCACCTGTGTCACCTGTGTGTCCCCTGTGTCACCTGTGTGTCACCTGTGTCCCCTCTCTCTGTCCCCAGGTCATGACTGCTCCCTCTGCCTGTGGCACCTGTGACCACACCTGTGTGCCCTGTGTCACCTGTGTGTCCCCTGTGTCACCTGTGTCCCCTCTGTGTCCCCCCAGGTC